GCAAAACTGATGAGGTCAACGGCACCTTTTGGGGAGGGACTAATTGCAAGAAAATGGAAGAAACCTTTCTCCTTGGTACACTACCTGCAGGAGAAGGAACCCCAGCACTCACCTCCCCCTCGCAGGAGAGCTGCACCCTCCCTGTGAGTAAATTGGGGTTGGGCTTTTTCCTTTCTCTCCCTTGTGACACCTTTGTAGCTCCTAATTGTAGGGACAGGTGAGAGAACTCAATCTTTAACTCTTCTTCTGGAGAAGCCACTGAACTTTCATGTAATCTGCTAATTAGGAGAATGATGAACTTTGACTCGTTCGCCTTTCTCACCGGTTGCCTCTTAAGGTTGTTAATAATGAGGAGATGGAGGGATGACCTTCAGGTGACCTTCCAGAACTCCTCAGCCTTTGCAGCACGTGGGGAGCATGCAATTACTGGAGGTGCTTGATTTAAGAAGAGGAAGCTGAGCACAAAATTCAGCACTTTCAAAGCTGCCCTGGTTTTTAGTGCCATCAGCTGATGCTGAAGAACAGGCTGGTCTGAGCACGTGCCGTGTTCCTCTTGCAGGACCACAACGTGGCTCTGAAAGCTCAGGAGGGGCTTTGTGCTGCCTCTTCCTGCTGGGAATGGACACAGCCACAGCAGACCTGCAGCTGCAGGGTGCTGCCAGAGTGCCCACATGAGTGGGGATGGTGGAGAAACAGCACCAGGACCATGTTCAGTGGCTGGAAGAAGTGTAGGTTGTAGGTGGCTCATCATGTACCTGTGCTCTGCAGTGTAAGCAAGCTGGCATCAAGCTCCTCTTTGACATTGCCTTGGCCATGCATTGTCAGTAAAGTTGCAGATAACACCAAGTGAGGTGGGACTTTTGATCTGCTTGAGGGCAGGGAGGCTCTACAGAGGGGTCTGGCCAGGCTGGATCCATGAGCTGCAGCCCATGGTATGAGGTACAACAAGACCACGTAGCAAGTCCTGCACTTCACTCACCACCACCCCCTGCAACACAACAGGCTTGGAGAAGAGTGCCCAGCAGAAAAGGACCTGGGGCTATTGGTCAAGAGATGATCCAACATGACTCAGCATGCACCCAGCTGGCCAAAAAGGCCAACTGCATCCTGGCTGGTAGCAGCACTGGTGTGGACTCAGCCCTACTGAGGCTGCATCTGGAATCCTGGGGTCAGTTTTGGGACCCTCACTCCAACAAGGACCTTGAGGGGCTGGAGGGTGGCTGGAGAAGGGGAAAGCAGCTG